CGCCACCTCTGACGGTGCTCAGATCTTCCGATACGGCGGCGTTACTTTCCTACACTTGTCTCCTCTTCTTCTTCTTTTATGTTCGCCGAGAAGGCTAAGGTAAGACGAAATAGCTAATCAACTCTCAATCTCGTCTTCTGGTCAAGGAACGATTTCCGTTTGCAGATTCGTTTCTCCATTTTTTTGTAAATTTCTTGCGATTCCGCATGACCTATAAGCTAGTGTTGTTCTTATTCTGATTGAATTTTGATCGAAATGCTGCTTATGAATCGATCCGTGGCACGGATTTGTTACAGGAAGTTTTGAACAAGGGAAATTCCCGAAAAACGCGTAGACGGATCTGAATACGTAGCTGCTGGATTAGGAATGGTTTCGCTGCCTCGTTGACCAGCTCGAGAGAGAAAGATATAGCTCCGACAAGGTTGTTTTGGATTCTCTGTTTGGATCAGGAGTTTTAGGGTTTTTGTTTTGTGTATGCCTCCCGATCACTGTGTGTTCTGTTTGCGTCGGCAGAGAGATTAGCTGACCGATATGCAGAAGAATCCTTCTTTAAGAGTAGCGATCCCTCAGGCACAACAGTCGCTTAGGCGCTTAGGTTTTTGCTCTCAAATAGCCACAGGAGGATCTCAGCAGTCATCTCCTGTAGTATTCCCTGAAAAGCGAAGCAAGAAGGTGAAGGCTTCTTCGAGACGTCCTGAGATTAGTAATAATGATCCACAGGTGAAACCAAAACCTGATGAGCATCGGATTGATATTGGTGGAGGGGATGAGAAATCAGATTTGTTAGGTAGTCTTGTGTACTCCGGGAAGCTCTTGTTGGATAAGAGGAAGTCTGTCAATGGTAAAGATGCAACAGAGGTACAGCAACCATCTGCCACTGACATCTTTAATAAAAAAGCAGTTGATGCAAAGCTTACAAGCAAGGCTTTGGTTTGGAGTTCTGACATGCTACAGCTTGACGATGTTGTCTCGGTAAACTTTTTTTGTTTCTTGGAGTAATTGGCCTTGCAATGGACTCTTGTGTATTGTAAGAACTGAGTCAACAAACTCATCCATGTTTTGTTGTTTTTGACAGTTGACGTACAATGTCGGTCTCAGGCATTTCACCGTGCATGCTTATCCAATTGGAAAAGGTTCTTGTGGCCTTTCTTGCTTCACGAAACCAAAGAGAAGCCGCAAGGATTTCCGTTTCATCCCACCTACGGTAGAAGAAGCAGTTCAATGGGTGGCCAGTTTTGCAGATCAACAATGTTTTATCAACTGTTTGCCACATCCTTTAGTCTCAAAGAAACAGGCTTCGTCTGAGTTATTTTCGGTCCCCATCGATACTCCTCCTGAGTTGGTTTTCCGGTGTAAGAGTGCACCCAAAATGCTAGTCATATTGAACCCTAGGTCAGGGCATGGACGATCTACCAAAGTTTTCCACGAAGTGGTGGAGCCAATTTTCAAGGTCCCTTTTCCATCTTTTTGTTTTATATGGATGTCGTAGTCTACATCATCACATGGTTTTACACTTTTAGGTACTAACAGGCTGGGTACTAATAGAATTAGGTTTTGAATGAAGTTGTCTACATACTCAATACCGTAAAGAACATTTCCATTTCTCCAATCCCGTTATGCAGCTTTCATAAAATAATTATGCTTTTTGTATCTTGTGTTTGATTTTGCAAACTCTCACAGCTGGCCGGGATTAAGATGGAGGTTGTCAAAACAAATAAAGCGGGTCATGCGAGAGAGTTGGCTTCCACTGTCGACATTAGCTTATGCTCAGACGGTACCAATGCTTGGTCCATCACTGAATAATATGTTTTATATCAGCTTCTAAAATGCGTAATTTCATCTTGTATATTTACTATTATTTATGAGATCTTAATTATTCTTCCAGGTATAATTTGTGTTGGAGGTGATGGAATCATCAATGAGGTGTGATAGTTAGCCTTCCTAAACTATGGTTATTTGTTTCTATTTTCTTTAGGAGTATAGTTTGATATCTACTCTATTACATGCCCTAGTGACTTAATGTGCTTCTGAACCTATTTTTGTATTGAAACGGAACTCTATTGGCTTATTTCAGCGTGCTCACGCCACTTTGCAAGCATGCTGAATCATTTTAAGAGTTTAGTAACTCTTCTTATCCTCCGGAGCGAGGACTTTGGGATGCATCTTATAGGAAAATACTTTCTCGTGTTAAAACACGAGAGAACTTTCACTCTTGGTTTTTCGTTTGATGTAGAACTCTTTAGGTAGATTAAGATTTGGAAGATACAGCCTTTGATGTTAACCTCCCCTGCATTTTATTTACTTGGAATGAACTCTCATCTCAATCCCTGCCCCTTTCCAATGTTGCAGGTTCTTAATGGTCTACTTACTCGAAGCAATCAGAAAGAAGGAGTTTCTATCCCAATTGGAATAGTGCCTGCTGGCTCTGATAACTCGTTAGTTTGGACTGTTCTTGGTGTAAGAGATCCTATATCTGCAGCACTCTCTATTGTGAAGGTACTCCGGGATAATATCCTATTGGTCCCACCTTTGGTTTATCCGGCCACCAACATTATTTTGCTTCTGCTTAATTTATGTTTTCTCAGCTCAATTTTTGTGTGTTTAGGGTGGCTTAACAGCTACTGATGTCTTTGCTGTTGAATGGATTCATACGGGTGTTATGCACTTTGGAATGACTGTCTCCTACTATGGTTTTGTTAGCGATGGTAAGTGAGGATACCATTGCGATGATCTGGATGCTGTTTCTTGCTTTACGGTCATGATTATTGCTGTGAAGTAATTCTCACATACCAATACCTTCATGCCTGTAATTTTCGTCGCATTCACTTACTATATCAAATATTCTTTGTTTTTAAACTGTGCTGTCATTATCTATTTGCAGTTTTGGAGCTCTCTGAGAAATACCAAAAACGCTTTGGTCCTATGCGTTACTTAGTTGCTGGATTCCTCAAGTTCATGTGTTTGCCAAAGTATAGCTATGAAGTGGAATATCTTCCGGCGCAAAAAGAGGACGCAGAAGGCGAAGCTAGACTTGAAAAGGAAGTTGTGGATGTGCAAGATCTTTACACGGATGTAATGAGGAGATCAAGCAGAGAAGGAATGCCTAGAGCCTCTAGTTTATCGAGTATCGACTCCATAATGACCCCAAGCGTAGGCGAAGTAGACACGGGTAGCAGCACACATGCCAGCACCGAACCATCTGAATATGTACGTGGAATAGATCCTAAAATGAAACGCATGTCCTCTGGCAGAAGAGATGTTACAGCTGAGTCTGAGGTTCATCCTCAAGGACAGTCAACAACCCCTAATTGGCCAAGGACAAGGTCAAAGTCAAGAACAGATAAAGGATGGATGGGATTAACATCCGTCCAGGATCCTACAACTCGATGTTCGTGGGGGAATACCGGTGCTCATGACAGAGAAGATATTTCATCTACTGTATCCGATCCGGGTCCGATCTGGGATGCAGGACCGAAATGGGACAGTGAACCGTCTGCTTGGGATTTAGAAAACTCGATCGAGCTGCCAGGTCCTCCTGAGGATATAGAGACAGGACTGAGGAGGCACACGATCACACCAATATATGAAGATAAATGGGTTGCTAGAAAGGGACACTTCCTTGGCATCATGGTCTGTAACCATGCTTGTCGGACTGTGCAGAGTTCTCAAGTCGTGGCTCCCAATTCAGAACATGACGATGGTACAATGGACATGCTATTGGTTCATGGGTGTGGAAGACTGAGGTTGATGAGGTTTTTTGTGCTTCTGCAAACAGGTCGACATCTTTCTCTTCCATATGTCGAATGTGTAAAGGTAATTCTTTTCTCTCGAGTAAATTCTTATTTACGGTATCTGAAACTCGGGATTTGCTGCGAATGTATATCCTAGCTAGGAGAAATGCTAATCAAACTGTGAAACCTGAGTTTGATACAAGAGTTTGATCATGAAATGCACGAATTCACATGGTATGATGCAGGTGAGATCGGTGAAGATAAAGGCGGGGAAACAGACGCATGACAGTTGTGGTATAGACGGAGAGCTGTTTCCATTGAACGGAGAAGTGATATCGACTATGCTACCGGAACAATGCAGACTGATCGGTAAAGCTCCTGAACGACATTTATAGGTTATTTATCTCATCAAAATTTGTGAGGATGGAGG